AGGGGAATCAAAAGGCCCAAAACATAGGCAGCCCAAAGGTCCTGAGCAGATAAGCCTTCTGCTTCACATAAGCCTAGTATAATGAAATGAAGATTAAGATGTTGCAACTAGCATTCATACCTACTTGGGCCAACACTTCTTGGAAGGGCTATTTAAAGATCCTAACGTAAGAGGTTCCAACCCATTATTTACGGACAGGGGAATCAAAAGGCCCAAAACATAGGCAGCCCAAAGGTCCTGAGCAGATAAGCCTTCTGCTTCACATAAGCCTAGTATAATGAAATGAAGATTAAGATTGGAGAATTGGATAAGACTACTCTAAAGGAATAATCAAATATCATTTAATTATGGATATCTTAATTAAGAGTTTTAGATTTTTAAAATAAGTTTGAGTTTTTTGGGCTTTAGTTGTATATTAAAAAAATTAAATTTTTTTTAAAATTAGGTGAGTCAACCCGTTTAACCCACCAACTCGTGGTGGGCCGGGCCGGGTTTAATTTTTTTGAGCTCACTATTAAATGAGCCGGGTTGGGTTGGCCCACCAAATGCTCAACCCGTGGTGGGCCAGGCCGGGCCAGGCTGGGGTATCCCGCCGACTTCATGTGGTGGAGAGCTTCGGGCGGTTGCCGGTGTGTGTTGCCGAACTGCTGGCACTCTTTACATTTTTGGATGTAGTCTTGGCAATCCGACTTCAGGGTGGGCCAGTAGTACCCAGCTCGGAGTACTCTGGTCGTCATTGAGCGTGCTCTGGTGTTCCAAGGCTTCTCAATCGCCTAAAAATTGTTATCTGGAACGGGCCGTTCTAGACCAGAATGGGCCGTTCCAAAACCAAACAAATGGCCTAAAATCTGTACCCCAGAACGGGTTGTTCTGAAATAAAAACGGGCCGTTTTGGTTCTCCGGAACGGGCTGTTCTGATTTCAGAACGGGCCATTCTAGGGCACGAAAATGGTACATAACGTTCAGATTTGGAATGGGCCGTTCCAAATCCAGAACGAGCCGTTCCGGCCCACATCTGATGCCTATAAATAGGAATCTCGGCCACAGTTTCAAGGGACCTCCAAAATTTCGTCCAAAGCTCCATAGAGCTCAAAATTTCTCCCTTTTTTTTCTCTCTCTCTCTCTCCTATTATACTTCTTGAGTTTTGTGAGGCTTATTGTAGTGTGAAAGGTTGCCACAAAGCACCTAAAACCTCCATAGTTGAAGATCCAATAAAGCTTGTTACGAGGTATTACTCATCAATCTCTTGTTTTATCTTTCTCTTCTTTTATTTTACATTGTACTATAATAAATGCAATTATGTAGATATTTTAGGGGTTTACCGTGTAATTTAAATTTCAAGCATGTAAATAGTAATTCATAAAGGGATCTAATATTTAATATTATTTCTTATCTCATTAACTTCATCATAGGGTACCAATTGAGGGCGTTGTAGGGGTGCTTAATACCTTCCTTACACGTAACCGACCCCCGAACCCAATTCTGGTTATCAAGGCCATTATTGGACTTTTAAAAAACCTTTTATTTTTCCAATGTTTTGAGTAAAACATTGGTGGTGACTCCATAGAACCTATTTTCAAAAACATTAATTAAGGATTAGTCTGGTGTCCGGGCATTCCTTAATTAATGAGATCTTTAAAAAGATGTCTAAACCATTAGTCGCAAGATCGAAAAAATCTGGGTTGCAACAACACTTCTCCGGGTTGAGGTGCATGTTGTGTCTCTGGATCTGGGCGAACACCTCGACAAGGTCGGTAGCATGGTCTATTGACGAGGTGGTCTTGACCACCATGTCGTCGACGTAGACCTCCATGTTCCACCTGATCTTGTGACACCCTCTACCCCAACATACATATACAGTAATTCCAAGGTGACTTGGTTTGGCCCTTCCAATATGATACCTGCCCCACCACCTTTAGAGTTGGAGGACCTGTCAATGTGTAAAGTCAATACCTGAGGTTCCTCGGCGGTAGTAGGCGTGAGCTCGGCTACGAAGTCGGCCAGGCATTGGGCTTTCAGGGGTCCACGACTTTCGTACTGGATACCAAACTTAGACAATTCTACTGACCACGCAATCATCTGTTCGGCGAGCTCAGGCTTTCGCAGGATTTGCTTGATAGGGTAGTCAGTTTTGACTACCACCTGGTGACTCTGGAAGTAGGGTCGGAGACGCCGAGCTGCGTTGACAAGTGCTAGTGCCAGCTTCTCGATCATTTGGTACCGCTTCTCCGCGTCTTGGAGGACTCGACTGATGAAGGAGATTGGTGTCTACACTTTTTGGTGCTATTGTACTATTACTGCGCTGATAGCGCTTTCTGCCACGGCCAAGTAGAGGAGGAGGTCAGTTTTGTGATCCGGCCTCTGTAGGATCGGCGGAGTCGTGAGGAAGGTTTTGAAGCTTCGAAAAGCTTCTTCACACTGATCCGTCCACTGAAAGTCTTTTGGCTTCCGTAGCAGCGTGAAGATCGGTCCGGCCTTCTCCGCAAGTTTGGGGATGAAACGGGACAGTGAGACTAACCACCCGGCTAGTCGTTGGACCTCTTTTACCGTTTGCGGACTTTGCATCTGGATGATGGCTTTACATTTCTCGGGGTTGGCCTTGATTCCTCTGCTAGTGATCATGAAGCCGAGGAACTTTCCTCCCTGGACGCCGAAGACGCACTTGTAGACACCCAATTTCGTCCGGGGGGCATACAAACAAGATAGGACATCATAGGGCCCAAAAACCCAAATTAACTTTTTTTAGTGGCTCGGAACGGGCCGTTCTCGAATTGGAACGAGCCGTTCCAAGGTATAGCAGGCTTCATTATGACAGGGGCTTTTGCTCATGGAGCTATCTTTTTTATTAGAGATTATAATCCAGAACAGAATGAAGATAATGTTTTGGCAAGAATTTTAGACCATAAAGAAGCTATCATATCCCACTTAAGTTGGGCTAGCCTCTTTCTGGGTTTCCATACTCTGGGACTTTATGTCCATAATGATGTCATGCTTGCTTTTGGTACTCCGGAGAAACAAATCTTGATCGAACCTATATTTGCCCAATGGATACAATCTGCTCATGGTAAAACTTCCTATGGGTTCGATGTACTTTTATCTTCAACGAACAGTCCAGCGTTCAATGCGGGACGAAGCATATGGTTGCCTGGTTGGTTAAATGCTGTTAATGAGAATAGTAATTCTCTATTCTTAACAATAGGGCCTGGAGACTTCTTGGTTCATCATGCTATTGCTCTTGGTTTACATACAACTACATTGATCTTAGTAAAAGGTGCTTTGGATGCACGTGGTTCAAAGTTAATGCCAGATAAAAAAGATTTTGGTTATAGTTTTCCTTGCGATGGTCCCGGACGAGGTGGTACTTGTGATATTTCGGCTTGGGACGCATTTTATTTGGCAGTTTTCTGGATGTTAAATACCATTGGATGGGTTACTTTTTATTGGCATTGGAAACACATTACACTATGGCAGGGTAATGTTTCACAGTTTAATGAATCTTCTACCTATTTGATGGGATGGTTAAGAGATTATCTATGGTTGAACTCTTCCCAACTTATCAATGGATATAACCATTTTGGTATGAATAATCTGCTGGTGGAAAACCTTATCCATCAGCTGCTGGTAAGTTGCCCCTGCGTTTTTGAGACCGAAGGGCATCACCCGGTAGCAGTAGTTGGCGTGGTCAGTGATGAAGGATGTATGCACCTCGTTGAGTGGGTACATCATTATCTGGTTGTACCCAGAGTAGGCCTAGAGGAAACTGAGGAGGGCGTGCCCGGACGCTCCGTCGACCAGCCTGTCAATGCTCGACAAGGGGGATGAGTCCTTGGGGCATGCTTTGTTCAAGTCGGTGTAGTCGACGCACATGCGCCACTTCCCCGAGCTCTTCTTCACTAGGACCACATTTGCCAGCCATGTGGTGTATCGGACCTCACGGATGAAGCCAGCATTCAACAATTTCTGTGTCTCAGTGATGATGGCCTTCCGCCTTTCACTGCCGACCTTCCTCTTCCTCTAGGTCACTGGCCTTGATTCCTTATGTATCGCTAACCTGTGACAGATGAAGTCAGCGTCTATACCTGGCATGTCGTCGCTGGACCAGGCGAAGAGGTCCGCATTCTGGAGGATCTCAGCTTCGAGTTGCTGTCGTAATTCTGGACTCAACTGTCTGCTGATTTTTGTGCACTACCCGGGAAGTTTCCCTATCTGGAGGTCGTCCAGCTCGTCAATTGGGCTCGGCCGCTCATCATGGGAATCGGACCTCGGGTCGAGATCGGTGATTTCCACGTGGGTGATGTGAGCCACGGTGGGGGGATCCTTCTTGCTTGGCTCGCCGGACGAGGAGATCTTCAAACTCTCGGCATAGCATTGTCGAGCTTTCTTCTGATTCGCTTTGACGGAGATGATTTTACCGTCACTTCCTGGGAACTTCATAGTGAGGTGTGGAGGGGACATCACTACTCCAAGCTGATTCAACGTGGGTCTCCCAATGATGATGTTATAGGAGGTGTTGGCTTCCACAACGAGGTATCAGACCATGATTCTCCTTGTGTCCGGAGAGATTCTGAAGGTGGATAGCAGGTCCACGTATCCCCGAGTGTGCACTCGCTCTCCTGCAAAATTGACTAGGGGTTCTGTGTGAGGTTGGATGAGAGAATGGGGGATGTCTAACCTGAGGAAGGTCAGCCAATACAGGACATCTGCCGAGCTCCCCTGGTCTATCAGTGTCTTGTGCACCTCCCAATTGGCTACCTCCACGGCTATGACCATGGGATCATCCTGGTTGGGACTGACGCTGGTATAGTCGTTATCGGTGAAGGTGATCAGTGGTGAACTTTGGTGTGAAGCCGAGGTAGCGGAATGGACAGTGTTGATATTGCGCAGGTGTCTCTTCCAGGCTGAGCGGGTGGAACCTCCCCCTGCAAAGCCACCTGCAATTGTATTGATAACTCCCCGTAAGGAAGCTGATCCTGTTTCTTGGCTTACCTCGGCTTGCACTGCTCTGCCGGCATGCTGCTGAGAGCCAGAGGGTTGGTCCGTGCAAGCTCCTGAACCACGGCCTCTGCCTCGTCCTCGTCCACCATAGCCTCCTCGGTGACCCTGTTGTCGGTGGACATATTGGCCGAGGTGGCCCGCCTAGATGAGTTCTTCAATACGGTCCCAGAGTGAGCAACACTCCTTAGTGGTGTGACCGTGATTTCTGTGGTACCGACAGTGCTTGGATTTTTCGGTATTGTTGGGGGTGTGACCTGGTAATGGCAGGGTGAGCAGGTTGTTGTTGTTGGCCTCCTCTAGTATGTGTACGCGGGGCGCGTTCAGGGGAGTGTAGAAGTCATATCTCCCCCTTTGTTTTCCCTAGCCGACTTCTTGAACTGGTTATCATTGTTGACCTTGATTTTGTCTTTGTGGCCCTGTTCTGGCTTAATTGGTCCTTTACCATGAACCTGGTCACGGAAAACAGAGTGCTCCTCCATCTGGATGTAGCCCGTTGCCCGGGCGCGAAGCTCGTCCATGTCATGAGGAGCCTCACGGCATAGGCTGTCGACAAAGAGCCCAGGCTTGAGTGCCATGAGCATGGCATGTAGGGAGACCTCGGGGTTCAGGTTTCTGATCTTAACCGAGGTGGCCACAAATCGCTCCATGAACGCCCGAAGTGGCTCGTCATGGTTCTGTCTGAGACTGGCCAGGGCGGCCGAAGTGATGTGGTGAGGTCGGCTCGTTGCATACTGCACTGTGAATCGCCTGACCAGAGTGCTGAAGCTGTCGATTGACTCAGCGGGAAGCTGGGTGTACCAGTTGAGTGTGGCCCCCTTGAGCGAGGTCGGAAAAACCCTACACAAAATAGCCTCATTGTTAGTGTAGAGGTTTACCTGTGTCGTATACAGGCCGATGTGCTCATCGGGGCCCGTCGTGCCATCGTAGCAATCGAGGTGGAGAGGCTTCCACCCTTGAGGGAGTGGTGTCTCCATGATGCCATTCACAAAGGGATGACGGCAGAAAGTTGTTTGACCCCCTGTGATATGTGTTGGGGCCTTGCTGACTTCATGGGCCGACTTGTTTGTCGGCGCGTGAGACCGATGCGCGACAGGTCGTGGAGTCGGTGCCCTAGTCGCGGTCCGGGGCTGAGAGACCAAATGCTTTTCTTCCTCGTGGAAGTTGCTTGCTTCAGGAGGATGATTGGAGGGGCGTCGAGGGAGCTGGGCGCGAATTCGCTCATTTTTAGCTCGTAGTGTCGCTAGGTCAGCTTCATTGGCGGTCCGCATTGCAGCTAGGTCGGTTTCGTGCTTGGCACGCATGTTTTGCAGATCGGCATCGTGTTGTTGTCGCATCTGTTCGACCTATTCGATCAGCCTTCTCAATGTCGCTTCGTTATCCATGGTGGTTGTGTGATCTGCATCATCTGTTGCGCATCTACTATGGCTTCTGGTGAATACCATAAGCGTGGCCGATAAGAGCTGTCTTGATCGGCCCCATGGTGGGCGCCAAATGTTCTTACCAGAGATCTACTGTAGAGATGATCCTCCGAGTAAGATTGGTGAACCTCCTTTGTTGGTATGCTTGGTGCTCCAAGATGGGGGTGGTACCTGCAAAAGAGACTCCGATGCCAAAGTTAGGATTTGTATGAGTGTATCTCCCGTATAAGTAATGCACGTACCTTAGTGTGAATTAGGGTTGCATTGGGCCTTGGGCCCGAGATCAGTTATGATTTAATTAGGTAACGGATCTCGTCTAGACCGAGATCTCCTGAGATCAGTTATGATCTAGTTGGATTGCGGATCTCGTCTAGGCCAAGGTCTCCAAATGCGTGTTCCGAGGTCGTTATGCTCTGTGATGCCGAGCAGGGAGCTCGGCTCGCGGTACGGATAGTACATAAATTATATTTAAAATTTGTATAAATAAATATTCTTAAATATATAAATTATATATTTTTTTGACAATAACATCTAAATTATATTTTAGATTTATGATAAATAATTTAGATTATAGCATGATATTATTTTTATTTATTGATAATTTCTGATAAAAAAATTTAGATTATAGCATGATATTATTTTTATTTATTGATAATTTATTTTAAAAATATTAAATTTAATTCATAAATAATAATGATAAATAATATTCAAATTAGAAAATAGATTAAAAAAAATCTCTAAAAACCTTTTAATTAAAAAAAAGTTCCTAAAATCACTTTCACACAACATAAAAATTTGTGTTTAATATATGAGTTGATTGTTAAGTACAATTTCAAAAAATAATTTTATTTTATTTGAATGAAGTGAGTTACTCAATGATATGAATTTGATTAGTTATTTTGAAGTACATAAATTCCCTAAATGATATCTTTTTTTTTTCTCAGGCTTAATTACATTTTTGTCATCTTATAATATCAAATCAATAATTTTGGTCTCTCTAATTTTAATTTTGCAATTTTAGTCTTTCAATCATTTTGACTCCTTCATTAAATATTTATCCATTGATTGTTAAAATTATAATATTACTAATTTGATGCTAAACAAATAAGATAACTATTAATATTTAATAATATTCAGCCTAAATTTCACTTTTAATTCTTATTTTTATCTCATAAAATAATATGAAAACAAAAAGTGTTATTTAGCCTAAATAATATTAAATATTAATTATCATGTCATTTATCTAATATTATGTTATGACAAGGATTATAATTTTAACATTTAACAGAAGAATGTGTAATAGGGGAATTGAAATTGCGAATTTTAAAATTGAGAAACTAAAATTATCGAATATAAAATTAAAAAACTAAAATTGTGACTTCAATATTCGTCTATAAATTAAACGAGCCATGCTCGTAGCAAGGCGTCAGAAAACACACACCCACAATACCTCACACGCACTCCTTAGCCTGTGTATAAGGCACACCGTGCATACGAGACAGCTTTGGGTATGATTTCTCGACCACCTTTCTTTTTCTTTTTTAGCGTAGCGTAGCATAGCGTAGCATAACATAGTCTAGTGTAGTGTAGTCATTTGAACATGTTTCGTTATCCTTAGGAATTGTAATTCTGTTACCATTTAATGAAGGATATGATTTTTGTAGTCAATATAAATGTAATATGTTCAATTAAAGTTAATTATTAAATGCCTGACATTGATTGTATAATTAGCATAGATCTTCTGATGTGCTAAACAAGCATAGATCTTCTTATGTGCGAAAACTAGCATAGATCTTCTGACGTGCTCAAACAACGAGCATAGATCTTCTGACGTGTTGAAACAACACCCTAATTTATGAACTTTATTTGTTGCTTTTACGATTTTATTTTTTCATTGAAAGTCTTCGATTCTGTCACGTCACGAACACGCACAAATTCAAATCATGCTAGTTCGAATAAAAAGAACCTACGAACGAAATCCTCCACAAACAAATTAGCACGCCCAGTGGGACCCGTTTGGTGCACTTCATTGAACTAATTGAACTAGTTTTGTGTGTGTTTAATTTTTATGAAACTTAGAAGTGGGAGAACTATGTCTACATCTAGCAGAAGAGATGTGCTTAATGAAGAACAGGGTAATAGAGAAAATCAGAATACAAATCAAGAAAATGTGCCAAATGAGACCAGGGGGCAATGTCTCCACCTCCTGTAAATATTTCGAACTCCGCGGGATTTTTGAATGCGTCACAAGAAATGGTGAACGCTACCGCGAATACCCATGGGGGATGCCTCCGAATTGGAGAAGTACCCAGCCCATGAGCGTAGAAATGCCAATACCATATTCTGGGCACAATCCTCAAATGCAAATATCATCATATGGGTATAATGCAGCCCCAAATGGGATGGACTTTATCATGCACGATCCTCACTAGCATGTTGGCACAAGCCAAGAAGGGTCGTTGGTTCGACAAAGTAATTATATACCCACGGGTATAAGCAGTGAAGCCATGATAGCCCTTCAATAACAAATGGATCATAGTAACCACGATATGGTAAATTTGTTGTCTACACAAATGCACAACATACTCACACCCCTATACGAGATGATGAGAAAAATAGGAGATAAAATTAATGATAATCGGCTCTCGAGAGAAACAAGTGTGAATCTGAATGGCCTCGAAAATTCGACCGTCAATGAGACGAATATTCGAGAGATTAGAAATCGTATCCATCTCAATCAAGGGGGACCTCTAAGAAATGTCAAGGAAAATTTGGATCATATAGTCGAGAGGGTACTGAATAGGCATGGATTTGAAACAGGACAAAATGAGCACCCTTACTTTGTATCTGCCTTTCCTGACTATATTACCCAATCTGAGCTACCCAGGGGGACGAAAGTCCCGAAATTCTCAAAATTTGCAGGGGAGTTAGGTGAATCCACCGTGGAACATATAGCGAGATATTTAGTCGAGTGTGGAGACCTAGTGGGTAATGAATATCTAAAAATGAAATATTTTCCAAGTTCACTAACCAAACATACTTTTACGTGGTTTACGACTTTGCCACCTGTCGCAACCCGAAAATTTTCAATCTCGCGACTAATGGTTTAGACATCCTTTTAAAAGTCTCATCAATTAAGAAATGCCCGGACACCAGACTAATCCT